ACTGTCCTCTCTGTTTCTTGGTTATTTTGTGTAATAACCCCTCTGTTTCTTGGTTCTTTTGTGTACTAACCCCCTAATAAGTTTAACTTTTGTAAATCTTATAAGAATTCAGAAGGCATTATGAGGTTACGACCCATTTAAAAGCAAGTATGACATTCGTTTCACTTTCAAGACAAACTAATCAAGCATCGTCGTAATGAGACCGCAGATGATGTTCTTGCAACACCTAAAATCGATTTAAAGCCGACCAAAATTACGCAAAGACGTTACGCCGAAAGTAGCACGCAGCAATCACAAGTCGGATACAAGTGCATTTACCATGACGGCTAACGGAACGCCAAGTGCGTTTTGATATGATTTTTAAATATTTTTATCATAATTAAAGTTAAGCGGGCGTTTTGATATGTGGTAGGAAATGTTATGGTCTGTTACCTTCTCACAAAAATATATGCGTCGATTTAAGAACCTACAGAAGTTACAAAATTTTAATCAGTAATGGAAAAATGGGCTACTTAGGCACAAGCTGCTTCAGTTGTCAAAATGTTATAAGAAAAAGTAATAACAAATCTTTGTCTCAATCAAATGGTGCCACTGCTATACAAAAGAACCCCTATAGATTTCTAACACCAGTCTTGTGCTGCCTACATTCAGCATTAAAATGTCTTACAAAATTGAAATACATTAAATCTAAGTGCACCACAAATTTCTTGTCCAACTGGGAAGATATTAACCAATTTTTTACAACTATTTATAACTTAGATAACTTTAAAGCAAATAAAAGATACAGGTTGTCAAATATTTCCTGAGAGATAAAACAAGGTGTTTGAACTGTAACAAGAAGTTTATTTCTCAATATTTCTGATATTGACTTATGTAATCTGGTTTGTTTAAATGGCTTGTTTTTATTTTTAACATGAAATAGGTAATAACTAAGTTATATTAAAGAAATAAAAGAGTAACTGGACGTAAGCACCTGTTTATTGATTTGAGACTTAAATCTCTGTTCAAGTGCACTCAAAGCTGACACATCCACCTTCTGATTGCACTTGTTTATCCAAATTGTCAGATACATTTATAAATAATAGCATAAAAATGTATGTTGAAGTGTTTTGTTTCTCCTTTCTCTGAACCTGAATGGAACCATTGATATATTTATAGAATGAAGCCCCCCAAACCCTTGATTCCTCTTGCTTCGGGATAAATCTTATTTCATTTTGTGTATAATTCAGTAGGTCTGAGAATAGGGCGTAATCATTTTTAGGGTTTTCTACGCTTACAGTTCTTCTCTATCAATATTTCTTTGAAGCCATTGAAAAATTATTCTGAAATCACAATTCATATAGGTTTTATTCCAATAAAAACTATTAGTTCAACAATGACAAAAATTAAACATAAACATGACTGTTTCTTTCTATAAAATGATACATCACATTTGAGTAATAAAAAATTAAGGTCAGGAAATCTATTTTTTAAACCTAATTTAGTATGTACACTTTGGTGTAAAGAAAGTACCGATATTGGACTTTTTTAAAAACATAGGATGATTTAGTTTTTCTCTGCCACATCGATTATAAAAATATCCAGGTTTTTTATATGCAAGACAAGGCAGATATTTGATCGCAATCGCACCTGGTACCTGTACACAATCATGAAAGTGGAGACAAGTGTGTCTATAGAGAAAAAAATATACAATTTAGAGTTTTGATACACATAAGGAACAATTTACTAAAATTTTTAATTAGTAGGAATATTTAAATAAGTTGAATAATATTTGGCAAAGGTAGATTAAAGATCAAAATCTATAAGTTTATTGCAATAAAGAAGTACCTTAGACGTAGTCTTCAAACCTTCAACCATGATTCATTATTTCCCTGCTGAACAAAATAAAACCTTTTTATCTACAAATGTTCGTAAACGTTGTTCTTGAACACCTCGAACAGGTAATGCTGAATATTATTATAGTGAATTTCTCTTTGTTGTGAATTTGATTGTCAATTTCACATGGTTTACAGACAACAAAAAGTTCAAGGGAAAACATTGAATTTTATCAGATTCGTAACGCTCATGACTGCCCTAGCGATTTTATCAGCGAAAACGCAATGCAAAGATAAGTCAAGCTTACGTAGTCACCTGTAAGATAGGAAACATTTATTTATTAGCAAAATGAAACCAGCTTACCTCGCCTGTTAAAAGGTCGGACCCGAACAGCGACTTTAATCTTATCCGAGGCCATTTTTAACACTTAATTGCACAAATATAATCAAAACACAACACTTTACACATCAAAGTTTAAAAAATTATTGCACATATTCACCCATATTCTAAAACAACAAAATTCATTATTTCACGTTATGATCGCGACGTTCCCGAATTGACACTGCCCGCCATGTTGTTTCTTGATCCATCATAATAGTGAGGTGCGTGTACCTCGAATTCGAACTACGAATTTTAAGTCGAATATTGATTTAAAGAAAATACCGGTTAAAAAGTCGTACATATAACCGTGCCATTACAAAGCCGTGTAGGCGTTAAAATAATTTTGCGATTTGTGGCTGTCATTAATGTCAAAGTCAAAATCAAAACAAATTAATGTCATCATTCATGACAAATCGCTATTTCGTAAAATAAAAATAATTCCGGCTAAAATTTGTGGAAATAAAACAAAAATATACTTTTTTAATTAGATGTGTAATTTATACCACAAGTTTTCTCTACACATTTGATTCTTATTGAAGCATCATGGCAGATGCGCTATTTGGTTGGGATCTAACTTTCAAGACTGTCGAGAAAGATGTGAAGCGAAAATCTGATGTTCTCATAGCTTTTATACATTGGAATTTAACAAAACGAGGTTTTCGCAGCATCGGTATTGGTGATGAGGTAGATATTAACATTGATTCAACTTAAACGACATCGATTTTCGGACAGCTGTGTAACTATCTCATTTAAACATAATTCGGTTGTTTCTAGCGTACAATAACTGGAAATGAAGCTCAGAGTGAATTGCTCCCAACAGGATGGAATGATAAAGACAACTATACAATGAGGTATATGTTTGAAGAGAAATTGTACATTCTTCATGGACTGAATACTGATGGAAATCTTATTGTCAACCTAATGGTTAGTAAAATGTTATTTCAAGTCTTACATATTGTTTTTCAACTTTAATGGACAGAGTAAATCTGGAGTATCATCTGTAATAATATAAACGAAAGCAAAATATTTAGAAAATGCACATAAGAAAATAATAATGATGTGTTTTGTTTGCAGAGGTCAGATGATTTAGCTGTATCGAACATTGCAGTTAAAATTGATGATACGGTCAAAGAAATGATGGGAGCTATAGACACACTGATGCCAACTTATAAAGATCTCATGTATAACATTAAAAGAGATCTTATTGACTCAATTATATCCGGGCCAACGGCTACAGCAGAGACTCAAACAACTAGAAGTGAGTTATTTTATGAAAAGCTTGTGTATTTGCTGTTCATTCAAACATTTTTGTTTCATCCTTATTATAACTTATTATAAGATTAAGCTTTGCCTTTATAATTAAAACTTGAAAGACAAATTATAAATTATGATATTTATTATATTAAACAATTTACAGTAATTCAGAATTTCAGTTTATTTCTAGTTTTTATTAAAAAAAAAACTCCCAATGACAATTACTGTCTGTCAGTTAAATTTGCATCATGATTAATAAATAATCCAATTAAAATGTTATTACAGCTGACTCCACCAGCAGGAGGCCACCAGAAGACTTCCTAAGAGAGCCAGGAATGCCTATGCACCGACAATCTGACACAAGGGACTTGTGGTAAAAATCATGCTTTGGATCTTAAAATAGAAATGCAGTATTCTCGAATCAGCTCATGAAATGTAAGGTTATCTTTGCGTTTCAGGGGCCTTCCTCCGTTGAATGTTGGCCGTTCAGATTTGGACCCCTTCTCTCCTGGTGGTGGTGGAATGCTGTTCAACCCTTTCAATCCTCGCGGTGAACTCGAAAACCCTGGGCTTGGTATACCTGGTGGACTGCCAAGGTTTGTAATTAAAAAATTCTAAAGATGTACTATCGGCAACAGTGTTAACTGCCCATTGCCAGTCATGTCATCTCGTTCTATCTCAAAGATTCGCCATTTGATTAGAGCGAGAGCAAAAACGGAAATGGATAGTTCGCAGTGTGGCCGTGTGCTAATACTCGTACTTGATAATCAATTTAATACTGAATTAATATTGGTCATATAATTATTGATTTTAATTTTATTTTTTTTATTAAATGGGCAAAGTTGAATGAAATAATGCCTACCTCATAGATACCCTTATTATTTCATTCAAGTTAATTTTTTATTTCCAGGGGAGGGATTCCTCCAGGCGCCCGCTTTGACCCCGTGGGCCCTCCCGGCGGCCCCATGCCTGGCAGGCGCCAGCCGCCTCCCGACGCAGATCATCTGCCTCCGCCGGGCTCCAACGATTTCATGTTCATGTAACTATGTAGTAGTTTGATGAAATAAAGGTCACCATTTCATTTGAAACAATTTCGACTTTTTTTGTTAATATGTTGACGACCCCCTCATGATTGGATTGCTCATCCAATATTACCTACATTTACTAAAAATATTAGGTAACCGTATTAAACTGACTGAACTGTAGTTCCAGAACGCTTTATAAAATTTCAATAGAGATGAAAAGCTGTACCAAGCTTCCAAATGATTACTTCCTCTGTGCAAGTAGTGCAACAAGCCATCATGCATGATGGTATTGTTGTCACCAGGTTACCAGCCAAACTATTCAGTCACCAAAAGAAAGAAGGGAAGGAAATGTATAAAACCATTATTGGGGTTCATCTACCATCCAGCAGCTGCAGTGATCTCATACATCAGAAAAATTACATGCATTATTTTATTACAAAATATACAATAACGTTAACGTTACTGCTACATGAAATTTATTAATATTGCAACACCAAATGGACGTTTAGAAATATTTGAAGTTTGATATCTAGCAACACCAAAATTCAGTTCCCTAAGTTTTTTTGTGCGAGGCACACGTTTTTGGCGTGTGTGTGGTGAATTTCCTTGGCTGCTCACGGCTGAAACCGTTCAATTCCTATTCAATGTGTATGGCTGTGGAGGTAAGTGCTTTTTTAATAGTTATTTATTATAAAACATAAAGGTTTCTTTTTATGGTTAGAATGAAGGTCGTACCCTCCTATCGAACGAACGGCGGACGTCACCAGCGTCGTGAAACCATTGGAATTTTATACACAATTATTACATACACATGAGGATGCTGACTGTATTATTAAGCTGATAATTCTGATCTCCTATTATTGTTTTACGTTGGCTAGCCATTAGCGTCTAATGGAGCAATTATTCTTGTTCTTACGTGACGCCCTGTGACTACCTACTCGCTTCGTAACTTGTTCGTATTGGCCGCACGTATAATATCTTCCGTGATAGAGTTCTGTTTTCGTATTTTAGTCGGTGGAATACTCTAGATTAAAACTGCGATGACTCATTTATGAAACCACAAATCCACATGCCTGTGCTTTATGTAAAGCAACTTACCCTCATTGTAATTTTTTCCTGGTCATAGTGATAATCGTATCGTAAAGCAGAAAACACCTAGCTTTCGCTTTGTTGTGTACTTTCAAGATTTTCCCACTTTCACAATGTTACTAACCTATTTGCAATTGATCAAGCCCCAAAATCATTAATAATGAATGAAATTTTAACCAATTTGATCTACCCTTCTTATGAAATAGAAACATGTTGTTCATTCTTGAGTGATGATTATTTTTTAAACAATTACGGTCATCATTTGTGGAGTTGTCTGGATCTTCTCGTTTAAGTTTTAAGTCTTATTCGTAGTAATTTATTCCATAAAAAATTAACATTTATCGTATTGGATATTACTAAAATGTGTCTTTATTAAGCTATTTGAGTTATTAATAGGCTGGTAGATCCAGACTACGATACGTTTTTTGAGTTGCACACAAAATGTTAGTTTCAACAATCCATCGAACAATATTTCCAATAAAAAATCTTTGATTTAATATAATTTCCTTATGGTTTATAGAATCTGTAAAACATTAACAAATTAATTTATATCTTGTTTTTAAAAACATGATGCAATCATTTATTTAACAACTTAGGTAGTTCTTTGTTCAAATGATTAAGTTTTGATATTGAATATAATAATAAACAGAATTTCTTATGAAGTGTTTATGAAAGTATCATTTGAATTCAGTGCTTTATAAACATAGCAATGCTTATTTCGATTGTCTGGTGCAATAATGCCTATTGTGTGAATGTTACCATGATATGGTGCACACAAGCATGACTTTTTGTAGCTAAGTTAGACTATTACCCTCAATTATTTTAATAATTATCTATTGGAGGCTAATTTCACAGCAAATTTGTTTATTCAACTAGATTATCTTTCAATTTAAAATTTAAATAAATACCTGCCTGCTACCCTAAATTAACAACAAATCACTACCTTTAATTCTAATTGTCATGATAAGAAAACAATTTTAATTTGATATTACATTAATATGTAGATAGGTATGTGGGTAATGGATACATTATCATAATGAAAGATAAGATTGATTCAGAGATAAAAGCATTAATCAGTTTTTTAGCCATAATTCACCAAACATAATAATATTTTCCATCAAATGACCAAACATTTATTCAAAGCTTTTGACAGATTAAGCAATACATTATTTAGGTTACATAATGTTATAAAAACCGGTTGGATCCAGATGAAACCTTGTTTTTCATAAACAATCAGAATTTCCTTAAAAGTTCACCAAACACCCACAAAAGAATGTTTTTAAAGTAGGGTAGGTAGGTGCCTACTTCTTAACTAAATCCTTAAAAACTCCATTGCTCCTAAACTTTCTTACCTGTTGAAAGAAATCTGTTTTGTTGATGTTTTTTCCCCAATTTGTTACCCTGGAAATTTTACCTGTTTTACAACAGGTGTTCATTTTTTTACACTCCCAATCTCAAAGGGACTCAGGTAGAGCCAACTTTCTTTGTTCCCTTGTTAAAGGTTGCCTGCCCAAGGACAAGGATCATTCCAGATGATTCCAAAATTGGCTTTTCGAAAGAGCAGGTAGTAGAATTTTTTGTTTGTTTACTTAAAATTCTGGGAGACGCACGAAGTCCCATTTCCGTCGTAAACCATCGAACCCTCTTTGACGTCATACAATACGCGTGTCAAACGTTTGTGGTGTTTATGTAAACATGCATCGTTTGTTCCTTATGTAGGTATGTTTCTGGTCACAATAAGGACGTAAACCGCTGAATTTTATAGCGTCATCAAGATTGCATCATTCGGTCTTATCGCTACGACAAAATGTGAAATTATTCACGTCTTCGGTGCATGTTTCCTTTATATTCGTTTATGGCACTGAACTCTCAGGTGTTCAAAGTGGCTTACCTACCTACGACCTCAATTGAACCTGTTTATAAATAGGAGGTATTACCAGGACACCCTGGATGGGCCATCGACCCGGCCTTGGTTTGCGTGTGTTGACCCTGCGCAGGCGCTGGTCCGTTACCCCGAGCATGCACGATCCCACCCGACCACTCACGAAACGGTTGATGAGGATCTACGAGTCTACGAGTATCGACGCCATTTTGGGCCGCTGGCCTCTATCTATAGTTTTGTGGCATTGCCATTCGCTCACGTCACTAAAACGCCATTACGTTCCAAATGCCATATCCTCAAAATTATGGATGTTATTAGCATTCTACTTCTTTATATTCCTCACCAGTGTAGTTTTTCCATTATCTTTATTTGATACAACACAATACCATTCCGAGGATTCCGTCAACTGGGACCGCAATTAACTGGGACCGCGGTCCCAGTCGCCGGATGCGTAAAAATTAAATAATTTTCTTCCGGCGACTGGGACCACTCATGGATTTTAGTACTGTACCGATTTTGGATTGAATAATATTTTCTTTTAAGTTATCTATGAGTGGTCCCAGTCGCCGGAAGAAAATTATTATTTTTTTATGAATCCGGCGACTGGGACCGCGGTCCTAGTTAATTGCGGTCCCAGTCGCCGGAAGCCTCACCATTCCTACCAGAATGTAAATGTTTATTGTGTTCTATTTTTAGTTGTGAATGCGAAAAAAGCAGTAGAGTATAAATGCGCATGTATATGCGCCTCACGAGGGGAGGCGCGCTCACACTCGCAGGGCTAAGGGACAAAAACTTAGCCGGTTATTCAGTAAGGGCTAAGGTCGTTGATCCAGGCTCCTGCAATGCGCGGCTTTCGAACTCGAAGGGCGACGCACTCACGATCGCTTAGCGTTCGACACGAACTAAAATGACCTCTAATTCCACCTTGACTAATAAATAGGTTAATTTTAATTCATAAAATGCGGAGCTCGCATCCTGATCCACACATGGTCTATTTATAATGCAGACAGCATAAAAAATGTTCGAGTGTGTTATGGTTGCCCGACATAATTCGTCCGGTCGCTCGTCCATATGTTTGGCAGATGTTTCAAAAGCATTTTGCTTCACAGCTTGTGGCCGAAATGCGTTTGGTATTGTGTGGAAGTGCAAGCTGCAGTAAAATAACGATATAATATCCTGCTTAATGGATACAGCTACTATGTAGGTCCAGGTAAAGCAGGTCAGAGCGATGTCGCGGACCGCGCTGAAGGATCCAGGTCACTAAGCCGGAACGGGTCACGATCCATGTTTAACTACCCGCATCTATCCCACCTGAAAATAGAACAAAATTATTATTATATTTCCTTCAATTACGGTATGTTTTTCCCTGACTCAGATTTCCTAATTTACGCTACTTTTGGACTTCATGAACTCCCTAAATGATTTGTTTTCATTACATCATTTCATTTAGCATGTTGTTAATTTTATCTCGCTTTGAGGAACTATTTGAGATGTCCCTGTTATTATTATAGTAGTATGTCAACTTTATGCATAAATTGAGTTCTTAATGATCTTAGTGGTGGTCGTGTTCGCGTTGCAAATATCACGTGTAATAGAATGCAAAGATAAGAAGGGCAAAGGCCCACCTCGTTGAAGTTTATCGACACGTTCGCGTGAAAATAAACTGTTAATAGTAGAAAGAATATTCAAAATGTTCATCTCAATTCTTAGGTTTAACATTCCTTTTGGTATGAGAAACGTAATATTAAGACTAAGTATGTATTTAGATGACCACGACTTTGTCCTTGTCAACAGTAACCAGCAATCACCTAAATTAGTACAATGTGTTATTATCAATTACCTTTTATTTGTTTGCTATTGTCATTAGAAGTCGTGCCCCTCGATCCTTGAAAAATACATACATATCTTTGAGTAAAATAAAGAAACAATGTGTTTCACAATGATTTACCAACTTTCAATATCATACTTTTACGCAGTAGTATTGATAAGGACGATTCCACCATCTGCCTATCCTAACACTTTATTCTACGAAGTATGGACATCAAGTTTTTGTTTTATATAAGTGCAATTTATCGCGTGGGTTGTGCAATAATCCTAGCAAATTGGATGACGTCACCGAATCCCAGTACGCCTTTACCCATACTACCTACTCCATCTACGTCACACGTATGACGTCGAATGTTATTCTAGTTGCCATTTCCAATGGACTAGAGTCTAGAATACTTCCAACGAAAGGTCATACAAACACACAAAACTTTCCGTAGAATTGTTAATTGGTCTGAAATCTAAATGCACATTATCATTGAGATGAACTTCATTATTCTCGATCGTAGCTGGCTTATCGTAACTCTTTTTAATAGCGTAGTTAATTGTATTCGGAGTACAAAACATAAATGAACGTACAACAGGAAAACCGAAAAGCATGCTTAGACTTTTTTAAGAACCTTCGCGTGCCAGTTATGTTGATACAATCAGTGCCTTGGAATTCTCCACTTAACATACGAACAAAATGTNTTCATACGATCAAAATGTACCAGACTGTAAACATGTTGTTTCAATATTTTTGTGATTTATCATAATTGTAAAGTTCACGATTCAAGTCATTGTCTTATCTTGTACTTGAGACAAAATTTGTAAAGGCAAATTTTTGGGATCTCTTCATCAAAATATATCGCCTTGTATCCTTGAGAA